ATTGGTGAGTACTAAGAGTTCTTTGTATACCCCAAGTCAACATTCCTTATCAGATATACGATTTGCAAATATTTTTCCCCCCTTCTAATGGGCTGTCTTTTCACTGCCTTGCTGGCATCCTTTGAAGCACAAACATTTCTAATTTTGATAAAATCCAACTTGTCAACTTCTTCTTTGGGCCTTATAGTTAAGAAGGTCAATGCAAGGTCACAAGGATTTATGCTCGTGTTTTCTTCTTCTAGACGTTTTACCTCTTAAGTTTAGGTCTCTGATCCATTTTGAGTTAAATTTTTGTGAATGACATGAGGTAGAGGCCCAACTTCATTCTTTTACAAGGGGCATTCCAATTGTTCCAGCACCACTTTGCTGAAAAGTCTATGTTTTCCCCGTAGAATTGTCTTTGCAACCTGTGAAAAATCAACGACCAGAGGCATGGATGTTTTTTTGCCCTTTGAATTGTGTTTCCTCCATCTATTATCTCGATGCCAGGACCACACTCACTTGCTCACTGTCTCTTGGTAGTAATGATATAGTTTCCAAGATGTAAATTTCAACACATGTCTGGGTCAGACACTGGAGGAGGCCTGGCCAGCTGTGTTTTCACAAGGCCTCAGGGACTCTGATGGACCCTAATGCTGCGGCCCACTGCAGCACAGGGACTCTGATGGACCCTAATGCTGGGCGCCCTCCATTTCCCAGCCTTGACGCAGCGGCTACGGAGCTGCATCATCTTGCTGCACACCTTGCTACGGCTGGTCTAAGTTGAGATGGCTGTCACAGAACACACTGGATTTCAAAGGCTTCTATGAAAAAAAGAATGCAAAATATAACACCAAAATTCTTAGATAGATTACATGTTGAAGTAAAAATATTTTCCATCTATTGGGTTAATCAAAAGGTATCATTAAAATTAGTTTCACTGGAGTCTTTTTACTTTTAAAAATGTGCATACTACAAAATTTCAAATCACATACGTGGGTGGCATTTTCTTCCTCCTGGCATTTGGATAGCGTTGGGCTAGCGGGTAAAGGGAGCGACACGGGTTGGAGGGGTTTTGCACCCCTGTGTGTCAGGCACTCACCTCCTGACCTGTGCAGGGCAGGTGCTGGCTTCTCCCCCTTGGAGCAGAGCGCTATTTCCTGGCGGAGTAGCCATAGGGGGCAGAGTGCCAAGGCACCACGCGGCCCTTCCCGGTTGGGACTGGTTCGAGCAGCGCTCAAAGCCTGTGTGTGTTGAGCGTGGGGCTTTGTGCTTTAGTGTGAGCCTGAGGCTGCCAGACAGACCTCGGCGGTTTCCTCCTCTTTCACTGACGTGGAAGGGGTGTCAGGCCTGGCCTGCGGAGCCCTGGGCCGGGGCTTCCCCTTCCAGATGGGGGCTGGGCCGGCTACCGTCCCCCTCCTGCACCGAGCCTCCAGGCCTCGCGGTCACGGGCCCTCGGCTGCACACAGGGCACGGCACACATGGCACGGGTCTCTGGCGCGCCACCCACCACTCCTGGGAAGATGCATCCCAGATCAGCACTCACAGCCCCTGGATGAGCTTCACCGATGCAAAGCCATTTCCGGGAGCATCGACCCGCTGCCCCCGCCTGTCACCGGGTACCAGAGCCATCCTGGGGAAAGCGGCTCAGAGAGGCCAAGGGTCTTGTTCGGGTGGTGCAGAACATGGAACGGGGGCAGAATCCGGGTCTCCTGGCCATAGGTCACTGGGTGGTTTTCTTCTTCCAGGACTTCATCCCAGGGGACCACGGCAGCACACCTGCCACCTACTGAGGGCCTGCTGCCAGAGACCCTGACACACGCCCCTTTTTAACCCAGGGGAAACACTGCTATCCACATTTTACAGATTCAGAGGTTAGAACCCTGGTTTAGGGCTCAATCCAGGTTGTCAAAGAGAATGTTCTAGGCTTGCTCAAGAAGAGGGAGGAATGAGGGAGGAGAGCTTTTATACATATTGCATTTGTCTATATATATAAATTAATTTGGAGAACATCCAATGTTGGCTCATTGAAGTTTTTCAGCCACTCCTGAGGTAGATCAAGAGGCTCAGCGAGGTTCAGGGACCTCCTGGGGTCCTGAAGCCAGTGACGGAGGAGGAGCTGGGCCCTACACTTGCCCCCAGGGTCTGGCTTTGGTGCTGGCCACGCAAGAGTCCAGCTGCCGTGCCCTCGCCGGCCACCAGGCTCCTCCAGACACTCGGCCTGGCTCCAGAAGCCAAGACTGGGGAGAAGGTCGGGGAGCAGAGGCCAGAGGGCAATGTACTGCTCATGGAACATGGTGAGGACGGTGTCCTGGGCACCAGCTGTGAGAACAGAGGAGCAGTCGGGCAGGGGTGGAGACAGCAGACGAGGAAGGAGGCAGGGCACGCCTCGGGCTGCTCGGACGACACGAAGTGCCTTGCTCCGATGACTTGGACAACGGACATTGATGGCTCACAGGTCTGGAGGCTGGGCCTCCAGGACCAGGGCTCTGGCTTGTTCCGAATCTGGTGCGGACACTCCCTGGCTGCTTTCTGCTGTGTCCTCACTTGGTCTTTGCACAGAGAAGGCAGCTTCTCGCTCTCCCTCTTGTCATAAGGCCATCCAGCCTGTTACATTAGACCATGCGCTTACCATCTCATTCACCTGAATGACCTCCTAAAAGTCCTGTCTTTACCAAGAGTCACTTGGGGGTTAGGGCTTCCTTGTATGAGTTGGGGGGGCGGGGGAGGTCACATTTCTGCCCACGGTTGTTGCTCTAGGAGAAGGAGCACTCTAGGTTGGCCTCACCCCGTTGGAGTTTGCAAGGATGAGGGGGACGCAGCTCCGTCAGCTCTGCCCAAGTCCCGCCCTGTACAGACACAGCATCTGTGTTGGGTGCTTTCAGGGATTCTGGGGACCTCAGAGGTATCAGGGTGAGAGTTGAGCTGAGCTTTGAGGGATAGGAAGGTGTCAGACTGGTGGAGAGAAAAGTGAAGTCATGCCTGGTGAGAGGATAGCATTAGCACGAGCACCGAGCTCTTGTGACGGACCCTCACAAGGGTCCCATGTGAGGCCCATGTGAGGCCCATGTGGGGGATCCTCGTGAGAGGCTCACACGAGAGGCTCACAAGGGAGGGCCATGTGAAGGCTCCAAATATGGGCCCATGCAAGAGGCCCACGTGAGAGCTGGGTTCAAGAACAGGCTCAGTCTGCTGTCCCAGAGCTTTCTCATCCCCCACTGCCTCTTGCCAATGTCTGCCATGTACTTCCCTCCTACTTACTGCCACCTCCTCTGTGAGCCTTCCTGACCCTCTCCCCACGAGCAGATTTTGCGGGTGGACACGCTGAGGCCTTGATGATGCTGACTGTCGTGCTGTGTTTGGCCATCTGTTGCCTTGCGACTGAGCACACCGCGAGTCTGCGTGAGGATCCGTGATGAGCTTATCCAAGTCACTGTTTCTCCTGGGCACACAGAAGCCCCAGACCCCTGGCTTCTGGGGACACCGTGTAATTGTGGGCAGAGGTGACCTGCGTCTCCTCCAGGCCTGTCACTGTCTCTTCTCTGGCTGCTGGCTGGAAGTGTGGGGGCCAGTGGCAGCCTTGGGAGCCAGAAGGAGGGGCTGGAGCCAGGAGATGGACAACATTGGGCTTCTTGTCGCCGGTGGAGTCCTCTCTATGCCCTCAATCTTCAGTGAGAAGTGGGGTGCATGTGTGGCCACACCAAGAACATCCCCTACCTGCTGAACCCAGGGTCTGCGGTCACCTGGCAGATGGGCCTGGGCTGGGGGCTCCCCACCCCCATGGCCAAGCTCCAGGAAGCCGAGGCAGCGTCCTTGCCACTGGTCTCTGCTGAGCAGGAAAGCTGGCACCCTCCGCGACCAGGCTGGTTCCCGAGACCCCACCAAGCCTATCCGCTTACCTCTCTGCCCCTCAGCAGGGCTGACTAGGGGGCATTTGCCTGCACAGAGAGGAGGCTGGGCTCAGCCCCCCTGGCCTGCTAGCCCCTGCCAGCCCCCCCCCCACCTGGTTCTGTGCAGCCTCAGGGGTGGCGGCAGTGCTCTCACTGCTTCTGTGGAGGAGGCTGGAAGGAGGATCTGAGTTTCCCCCTAGAGACGCTGGAAAGACAGTTAGTCTCAGCCTCACACCGAGGCCCAGCTCCGCGTTGCTGGCTGTTTCTGTGGTTACCTTTCTTGCGGCGGAGGTGGGGTGTGCATGTGTTTACTCTCGGGGCTCCGGAGCCCCGTGTTTGCAGGAGCCGCTGGGGCCGGGTGCTGGGGGGCGCCCCGCGCAGGTGCCGGCTGGGGTGACGCGGGGGGCGCGGGCGCCCGGGGCGCGGGGTGCCGGCCGGGCCCAGTCTCGGGCCGGCGGGGTCGTCGCGGCGGCGGAGCCCGCGACCGCCCGGGCCCCGGAGCCCTGTCTCCTCGCGCGTCCGCCGCCCGCCGGCGCGGGGCTCGGGCGCGCGGGTCGGCCCGGGGGCCGGTGCGCCAGGCCCGGGCGGCCCTTCCCTCCGCGCCCGGCCGCGCTTCCTGCGGGGCCGGCCTCCCTCCCGCGCCGCCTCCCGGCCGCTCCCCGCGCCGGCCGGGCCGAGGGCGGAACCTGCCTCCGCCCGGGCCCGCGGCTGGGACGCGCCGGGGCCTCCGCCGGGGGAGCCCGCGGGCAGCGCGGACGGGACCGCGGGCAGCTCGGGCCGGGGCCGGGGCCGGGGGCGTGGCCTGACGGGCGGCCCGCGGAGCTCGAGCCCCGCCCCCCGCCGCCGCCCCGCCCCGCCCGCCGGCCCCGCCCCGCCCGCCGGCCCGCCCCCGCCCGCCGGCCCCGCCCCCGCCGGGCCCCGCCCTCCCGGCCCTTCCTTCCCGGCGCGGGCGCGGGCGGCGGGCGGACGGCGGCGACGGCCTCACCTCCCGCGCCTCGCGGCCGCTCCCCTTTGTCCTCCGGCGGCGATGCGCGCAGGGCCGGCGCGGCGGCTGCCGGGGCCCGGAGGCCCGCGCTCCTAGCCGCCCGCTCGGCGCCCGTCCCGGCCGCGGCCCGACCGCCCCGGCGCCCGCGGCGCCGCGACTTGGCCCCGCAGCGGCGTCGCGTCCTCGCCCGCAGGTAGGGGGGCCCGGGGCGCGGCGTCCTGGTGTGCGTGAGCGGGCGCGGGGGCCCGGGGGGTGCGGGGTGCCGGGGGGGTGCCGGGGGGTGCCGGGGGTGCCGGGGGGTGCGGGGGTGCCGGGGTGGGTGCCGGGGGGTGCCAGGGCGCTGGTGCCGGGGTAGGGGTGCCGAGGTGGGGGTGCCGGGGCCCGGGTGCCGGGGCGCGGGTGCCGGGGGGTGCCGGGGGGTGCCGGGGCGCGGGTGCCGGGGGGTGCCGGGGCGCGGGTGCCGCGTGTCTCGCGCGGCGGAGTTGCGGGCCCCGAGGGGGCGCGTGCGGGGCGCGGAGCCGTCGCGGGCGCGGGGCGGGTCCGGCGCGTGGACGGCGGCGCAGCTCGGGGCCGGGGGCGGGCGCGGGGGGCGGGCCGGGCCCCCAGTCCTGCGGCCGGCGCCGCGCGAGCCGGGCCCGGGACGGGGCTCCGTGCGCGGCGGGAGAGGGGCCCGGCCCGGGGTGCGCCCCGCCTCCGCCTCCGGCCGCGTCTGCCCGCGGGTCAGGGCGCGCGCCCCCCGCCCCCCCCGCCCCGCGCTGCGCCCCGGCCGCGGCCTTCCCGGGCTCGGCGCTCCCCGCGCGAGGGCGCGGGTCCCCGGGGCGGCCGGGACTGCTGCGGCGCGCGCTGAGGGCGCCCGGCCCGGCGCGCAGTGGAGCCGCTCCCGGCCCGGCGCGTCTCCAGCCGCTGCTTCTCCTGGTCCGGGGGCCCCCCGCGTGCTCCGTGCCCCCCCGCTGCCCCCCCTTCACCGCGTCGCACCGAGATTCGAGAAAGTTTGGGCGCCGGCGGCGCGCCCCTCTGCGCCCCGGGTCCCTGCGCGCGCGGGCTCCGGTCCCGCTCCCGGGCAGCCCGTCTGGTCAACAAGTGCCGCCCGGACGCTGCTCCCGGGGCGGAGCCGCGGCGAGGGGCGCCCCGCAGCCGGCCGCCGGGGCGCCCCTTCCTCGGGCCACCCCGACCCCCCCCGCCCCTCTCCCGCCTCCCTCCCAGCACCCTTGGCTCATCCGAGCTCAGGACACTGGATCGAATCCGGACTCTTCATTCTGATTTTAATTAAAAAAAAAAAAACAAAAACCTGAAACCCACTATTCCTGAAATTGAGCCGGGGCGAATGCGCACAGCCCCGCAGGCGCCGGGGAGCCGCCCTGCCCCGCCCTGCCCCCCCTGCCCCCCCGCCCCTGCCCCCCCCCTGCCGGGCCAGCGCCTCTGTCGGACCTTCCGCGAGAAACAAATAACCTTCAGCTGAAAACCCAGCACGGCCAGGAGTGCGCAGGGCCTTGGGGGGCCTGCTTGGGGTGCCGGATGCCTTTCCACCATCAGGTGCGCCCGGGGTGCCCTCGGGACGCTGGAGCCCTTGGCCTGCATTTATGAGACAGGAGCAGCACCCTCTGGTGCCTTTCTTTGGTTTGGGTCCCCCCAGGACTGACGCCCCGTCATGTCAGGGGGCCCGCAGGCCAGGGAAGCTGAACAAGCGCGTTTTCGTCCTGACAGCGGGTCTGGCACACTTAGAATGCAGCCTGTTTTTTCTTCCCCTAATGATTTTATATCCCTGAGGAGAAAAGCTCTTTGATCTGCATCCTACTGTCTTCCCACAATCAAATTAAATAAGAAACAAAAATTAAAAAAAAATCAGTCTGTGTTTCTCTGCACAGAAGACAGACCCCCAAACTATTTTTTCCCCTCAAGTTAAAACCAATCCTTTGTCTCAAGCAAACCAGCGTTTTGGCCCTAGATCTATTTCTGTTTCACTTTTGAAAGTGCCTGTAATTACTGAGCTCTTGAGGCTTATTGGATAATGTGCCAGAGGAAGCCCAGGGGCGCTGCCTCTCCTTTGCTGTGGGATATGGTGCCGCGTTCCAGGCCTGCCTGCACCCTCCGGGTTCCACTTTAAGGCTTATTTCCAGGTGGAAATAGATGTCAACGTGCCACAATAACCTGGGAGACCTGGCTTGGGGAAGGTCATTCGACTGTAGCGAAACAAGGACAAGTGAAACCCCCAGAAGGACAGAGATCGGCGAGGACTCATTCATTTCCCACAGGCCCTCCTACGCAGAGGCTTTAGGAGAAATAAAAGCGCCGACCAATTCCTTTAGAATTTATGCCAGTGCTAGGGTCTGACACGGGACTGTGCAGAATGAGAAATGCACACTGTTGAGGGGTGAGGCGCAGCCCCCTCTGTTCAGCCTGGTGAAGCCCCAGCACTGTATTCGCTGGCCTGGCTCGCGCCTGCCCCGGGCGCTCTGCGTGCTGGGACCAGGGGTTACCACCCACAGAGCCGCGTGACTTGGTGTGGCAGGGCAGCCTGTCTCCCCGTCCTCCTTATCCTAAGACCTGGAGTCGCCACTCAGAAGCGGGACGGTGCCAAGGTCACATTTGAACCAGCAACAATCCAGGATACTCACAAGGCGCCCCAGAGTTTACTTGGCACCACAGAGTAAGCTACTTGGCAACTGAAATTTTGTCTAGATTGGGATCAGGTTTATATCAGAACTGAGCATTCCCACCAGCCTGAAACCATCCCTGTTTGTTGTGGGATAATGCTGCCAATTTATGAGTTGCCAGCCTGCACTTGATGGGAGAGTATGTGTATTTTGCGAGTTTGTCAGCACCTGATGTTACTGTGCTGGGCGGCGGGGCACGGGGCGCCTGGAAGCGCCCACCTCCCGCGGCTCCCTGCCTTCCCTGGCGTTTTCATGCTGTGCGTGCAGGTGGCGTTTGTCCTTTTCCTTCTGGGTTGAGTTTCTAATCGGGGGATGACAGAAGGTAATTGTGAAGGTAATTGTATCTGGAGATCATGGAAGGACTTGGGGTTCTCAGTGGCGCTGGCCCCCCTGGATAAGAATGTCTCTTTCAAATCCCTTTCCACCTAAATAAATAAATGAATACAAATAACGGCTGGAATCTCACCCAGTGGTGTGGGTTTTCAGGTTGCTCCAGGTAATCAATACAGTTTGACAGGTGGAACATTGCTTAGGTGCTGATGAGGAGCAAGGTACAGGTCTAAGGACTTTATTTTATCATCTGAAAAGCACAGTAAATCCTTTCGAGAGCCCTACCTTGGCCGCGCCGTTTCAAGTGAAATTGAATTTCAAAGGCGAAGCTTCATATCTCTGCATTTGTGAGGCATGACTAACTAACGGCAGGCGAGATCTGGGGCTCTCGTCCTTTTGCAATCCACCCCTGCCTGCACGGGGGCAGAAGATGCCTCTTTATTTACCTTTATAAGCCAAGCGCACCCCCGCCACCTCCTCCTCCTGGAGCACACTCATCCAGTGGTTGTGTTTTCTGGATATTTGCTGCTTTTTAGTGTGGGCGTGGAAATCAGGAGGCTGCGGTGGAGGCCTGCACCCCGCCTGCCTCATTAGACCAGATGTCTTCTCCCAGGATGGAGCGAGGCGTCTCTGATGTGGGCCAGAACCATTCAGGGTGTTCCATTCGCCCTCCATGGTGATGTCTGGCCCCCTGAGGAAGCCTTCCCTCCACACCCTGTGCCCTGGCCCAGATCCCCTCTTGCTCTGTGTCCCTTTCAGCCTGGGAGCTGTCCCTGGCAGGCAGGCGCCTGGCCTGCCGAGCGCCCTTCTTCACCTGCTGGGCCCCTCCCTGGCTTACCTGGGCACGGCAACTGAGCACAGCCGAGCCCTCCCATTGCTCAGACCCACCCTGACTCCGGGGCGGCGAGCAGAGTCCAGAACTCCGGCATCCCAGCCCGTCTTCCACCTGTTTGTTACGGCTGGAGATCCCAGGAGGGCTTCTAGGCTGTTTCCCCTTCCCCACCATCTAGTGGGGCAGGGTCCACTCTATTGTTGCCCCTTCTCCCTGTCCCCTCACCCCCTCTTCCCACAGACCGAAGCCTTCTTGCTCCTTCTCTACGTGATGCTGCTGTCGGGTGTTTAAAGCCAATCTTCTCAGCTCCAGTCCCTGCCCCAGGCCCAGTCTCCTCCTCCGTGAATGTTCTTCTGGACACCTGTGTGTGTCTTGCTCCAGCTGGGCTCTGGCAGAGCCGGACACAAGTCATCCCTGCCTGTGTGGACGTGGTCTGGGTGGGGGGTGTGAGCCTGTGGACACCATCAAACCAGGCCAGGGAGCTTGACTGGTGCTGTGGCGGGAGCACCACCCAGGGGCCTTGCAGAAAGCTCTGGGCTGCAGGTGTGAGGGTACAAGTGTGTGTGGGGGGGGTGGGGGTCGGGCGGCTGGGTGACCTGTGCGGGCCAGGCAGGGCTGGGCCCATCCAGAGTCTTCCTTTCTTTTCTCCCACCCGGACCTCTTGATCTGCTCAACTCCTGTTCATCATTAAAAAAAATTCTGTATGAGTTGCCAGCTGCACGGAGACAGCGTTTCTATACGATGGGGGGTACCGTGTAAGGTGCACAGGTCAGTGTTTTTCGGTAAATCTCCAGATGTGCCACAATCGCCTTTTAGAACATCTCCATCCCCCCCAACCCTCGGGCCCTTTGCTCTCCCGCCCTCTCTCCACCCCACCCCTACCCAGCCTCCCACCTGGCCTGTCTCTTCCTGCCCTCAGGCTCCCTTGTGGAGCTTTGACTTAAGAACTTCTTTTGCGTGACCTTCCTGGACGCTTCTGGTGCAACCCTTGGTGCTGACCAGGTCCCTGGTGCTTGCCTCCCTGTGGGATGCTGGGTTCTTAGATGCAGAGAAGGGACTTAACAGGTGCTTCCTTCCTCACCTGGTGCAGGTGACTCACCCGGGCCATGACGTCCCCGTCGTGGCGCCCAGAGCGCCCAGCAGCCCGTGAGACTGAAAGGCAGAGTGTGTCTCTGGGATGCTGGCCGCTGTGTACCCCTCCACCTTCCCTCTGAACCCCAGGAGCCTCACTTTGTTTCTAGTGTGCTAGTTCTAGTTTGTTTCTCCATTCACTAATTTGCACTTTGCTTCATCAGTTTGTCTGCTAGGATTCCTTTCCACTCACACGCGTGGCAGCGGCCCATGTTCGTCTCTCTTTCCGGCGTGCTTTGCTCTCCT